TTGAGTAGCTAGGACCACAGGCTAATTTTTCTATTATTTGTAGAGATGGGGGTCTTGCTTTACTCAGGCTGGTCTCCAACTCCTGATTTCAAGCAATACTCCTGCCTCAACCTTTTGATTAGTTAGGACTACAGGCATCAATCACAATGCTCAGCTAATTTTTCTATTTTTTTTAGAGATGGGGGGGGGTCTTGCTTCACTTAGGTTGGCTTCGAACTCCTAATCTCAAGTGATCCTCCTGTCTCAGCCTCCCAGAGTGCTAGGATTACAAGTGTGAGCCACTATACCCAGTCTCCTTCCCCCCAAGTTGAATGCTCTGTTTCCCCTCCCCGCTTCTCTCAACAGCACGCTCTGTACGAGGTCTCAACCTGTGCCTGGCACATAGTAGACTCAGTAACAATTTGTGTTGTTGTTTTTTTAAAACCTCAATTCTATTCCTTCTGTAGACAATTTGTTTTTGAATGAACACAGAATACTCTGGAGCTAGGCACTGCCCGCCCCATTTTCCTTGCAGAGAGCTGCAGAGAGCCCTTCAGGCAAGGCTGGGAGTGTCATCTCCAAGAAACAGAAGGAAGGCTCAGGCTACTGAAGAGGAAGACCCTGGGGTGTGGAGGCCCTGGGGAGCAGAGAGTCTCCCAGGCCTTGGGGAGCCACACACACATGCCAGGGAAGTCAGACCTGACTTCTCTCTTGATCTACTGGGTGACTCCCAACAAGTCACTCCTCTTCTTGGGCCTCCCTCCATCTACCTTCAGGATGGGGTGAGAAGCTCCACTCTGCCTATCTTCCCAGGGAGGGGCAGGGGTTGTGAGCCTCTGATGAGGTCATGGCTGGGAAAATGCGAATGGGAAAGGGCAGGGCACACCCAAGGCTCTCCAAGGTCCTAGGCCTGGGGTCATGTTGTGGAGGAAGACAGCAGAGAGAGGATACAGGGAAAAAAAGGACAGAGAAAAAGTTAGAGATGATGAGGAAGGGAATAGAGAAGGGAGAGAGAAAGAGAAGAAAGGGAGGAGAGAAACAAAAGACACAGAGAAACAGAAAGATGGAGGAAAACTAAGAGAAAGGGAGAGAAAATGAGGGAGCGTGAGAAAGAAATTAAGAAAGAAATGGGGGGCTTGG